CATTGCTCTTCGCTACTTTCTTGCTCGAGAGCTTCAGCAGCGCGGTCAGCTTCGGCTTGTGTACGTGGACTCGAAGGCCAACACTGCTGATATCTTCACCAAGGCGCTCCCGCCTAGTGATCATCAGCGGCACTGTACTTCTTTAGGCCTTGTGTCCACGTTTCCTCACTTGCTCACTGCTTGACATTCTTTGTACTGTACTTTATATATATCTTGTTGCTTGCTTGCTAGGTTTTGATCACTGTGTTGCTTGTCTTGTACTATATCTAGCACTGCATGTGAACTGGCCTTGTGGCCTTTGCTTGTGCTCGGAGTGTGGTGACGTTGTGATCCACCCTGGGCTTGCGTTGCTTTGCTGGACTGGTCTTGTGACCCTTTGTTCTCCCCCACTTTGCCTATGGGGGTGTGTTAAAATTGTAATGTGTTATATGTTGGTAGGCTGTAGTGGGGTAGCCAATATGGGGTACAACCCCAACTAGGGTTTCATATTTGTACCCAAACTTCTGCTAGTTCATTCATTCTTGCCTAGTTATTCTGAAACTTGCGTCACCCCCAATTTCCGTTGAGAGATACCCCGATGGCACCTCTCAACGGAGTCCGGCTACACCGCATACCCCGGAAAATTTTTCTTCCTCTCTCCTTTTTTCTACTCACGTTATTCCTCCTTTTCTCCTCTCTTCCCGTTTCCACTCCTTTTCCTTGCGTAATTATGCTACATTGTAATATTTTAAAGTATAGCTCAATAGAACTTATTATAATGCTAAAACAAAATGCCAGGAACTTCGCAAATGCATTTCGTAATTGAATCCGATAATATTTTCGGAAATCAATAGCAAACATGTGTTTAAAATGTTAAAATATAAAAACAATATTGAAACATATGCGTTTATAATTTAAATTAAGGCCAAGGGATATCACACAACACATACTTGTGAGATAATGCGCTTTTTAGACATCGTAAAAGCTAATCTAACACCTAATAAAAAGAAATAACCATGATAATGAAATAGAATATGTGTATCGCAATAAACTAGTTTACTTCAGATTGATGAATAACAAAAGTAAATTTAACTATTATGTCAATATATTGAGTCCACAATGACATAAGGACTGTAGAAGTAAACATCATAATTGTCAGAATATTATGCTCTAGCCTGCAGTGGGGTGCTCTATAGCGAGTACAACCCTTCTAGGGTTAGCTATTTGTACCACCATTGTTGCTAGTGCAAACCCCTCCTTTGCTCATTTCTCTCTTGCCTAGCTAGGTAAACCCTAGCTATGGCTCCTAAGCATACCTATTATCGTGACATGCTATCAGAGCAGGACGATCCTGTTGGGTCGATCCTGTGGGTGGGCCCCACCACCTTAGTCTTCCGCTGCATCTACTACTGTGTGTGTCGCACGCCCCGTGGCGTGCGACGGATTTTTCATCCCGCCGCGCGCTCGGGGCGTGCGGCGGTTTTCTCCCCGCCGTGCGCCCCGAGGCGCGCGGCGGTTTCCTACCGTGGGGGACCCCGCGCGCCCCCGCCCCTTTCGTTGCTAGGTATGGGGGTGCCGCGCGCGGCCCCCCGCAGCCACGATTTCCCGTCGCGCCGCCCTGGGGAGCCGCACTCGGCCCCCCGCTGCCCCGATTCGCCGTCGCGCCGCCCTGGGGAGCCGCGCGCGACCCCCCGCTGCCCCGTCGACGGCCGCGACGCCCTGGGGAGCCGCGCGCGGCCCCCGATTTCCCGTCGCGCCGCCCTGGGGAGCCGCGCGCGACCCCCCGCTGCCCCCGCGTGGCGCCCTAAGGAGCCGCGCGCGGCCCCTCGCTGCCCCGTGGTGGCGTCCTGGGGGCCGCGCGCCGTCCCCCTCGCCGTCCCCCGCGCTCCTTCCCCCGTTCCGCCCGTTTTAGGGTTTGGGGGTGAGGAGTGTGGGGGTGGCGACTATGGGGGTGTCGGTTGTGAGTTCCTCCCCCTGCTCCTCCTCCTCCCTAGTCTCCCTCTGCTACAGCTGCCACTGAGGGGGGTGGTGTGTGGGAGCCTAGGGTTTGGGGTTTAAGGGGGGTACCGTGGGAGTGGAGCTAGCTAGGGTTTGAAGCAGAGGGTGTGTGTCGAGGGGTGTGGGACTGGCAGGGGGAGGTTGAGCGGAGGTTGCCGTCGTGTTGTACGCAGCGCCTGTACTCCGGGGCACTCATTCCCGGTAGCTCAGAGAGCCGGTTGCGCCGTCGCCTGTGGGTCCGTTGCTCCTGCCGCGCATATTAGCCGCGGAGCCTGTTACTCTTGTACTCCGGAGCACTCATTCCCGGTAGCCACGTTGTCGCACCAGAGCCGTCTGTTGCCCGTGTGTCTGCAGCTTCAGTCGTCGCCTCCTATCTACTCTCCTCTCGCCAGCCCTCCTCCTCCTCACTTGCCCCCCTGTGACTGCCTCTAGCTTTGCTCATAATTGTGAACCTTAAACTATTGCTTCTTGCTTGTGCTCAGAATGTGTGGTGACATCGTGATCCACCCTGAGCTTGTACTGCTTTGCTTGCTCTGCTGATTACACCCCACTTTGACTATGGGGGTGTGTCAGAATATTATGCTCTAGCCTGCAGTGGGGTGCTCTATAGCGAGTACAACCCTTCTAGGATTATCTATTTGTACCACCATTGTTGCTAGTGCAAACCCCTCCTTTGCTCATTTCTCTCTTGCCTAGCTAGGTAAACCCTAGCTATGGCTCCTAAGCATACCTATTATCGTGACAATAATAAGTGTACATGTATATTAATTTTCTTAATGATTCTTTGATTAAGAAACTTAAAAAATATTACTTAAGATAAGTTTTTCTTCCTAAAATACATGAATCTTGAACGGGGTCGTTGTTTCTATGACGAATGATTATCTTTATAATAATGATCAAATTACAAATCTGCTTGTTTCATATTTATAGTAATGTTCTAAACTTTAAACAAATGTTCCTTCGTTAATTTCAAACACATTTTGCAGATCATAATAAAATGTTTGACTACATTATAATACAAATATACACATGTAACATTGAAAGACATTTTTCTTAAAAGGTAATTATATTTCATCACTATATAATTACTATATGTTGAGATAGATTTCATACATTGATTAACTCATATAACATATTATCAATCTATAGTCATTATCAATCTCAAATTTGAATATACTACAATAATGATGTTACGATATTCAATGAGTATATCTATAACTATAGAACACAAATGAATATATAAGAAAAGAACATATGTTTTGTAAATGAACGTTTTTGTTTGCATACTTTTTGACTATAATGAATCGTTAATTTAAGCGTCATTGTAAGTTATGATATTCTTGCAACAATCCAATTCGTAATTTCATACCAACACATTTGTAATAGTTTATTAATTTGACAGTTATATGGCTTAACCATTGTTTTCTTTCCTTTTAGCGATAGTTTCGTGACTATTGATTTTTGTTTTTGAAAGCGGGCAACTCTTGACGTTTCGCCTCGAGTCCGCCGGTCAGATTAACCGGTGGCCGGCGAGCTGACGGCGCGCGAGATCGAGGGGCGGCGAACTGGTTGGACGCGTCCGGGCGGTCGGTTCGCGCGTGCACCAGTTCGCCGCCCTGACGCTCGGGGTTGCGTCACCCCCTTGCGTCGCCCCAGGCAAACCGGGAGCGTCACCCCGGTTATCGTCGAGCGATTCAGCCCAAACCCAGTCAACTCCACTCCAACCTCCTTAGGGCGCGTTTCTTTTGAAATTTGGGCCAAAGTTCATGTTTTTAACTCGAATTTTTATGTTTGAACTTAGGTCGACCTGTACTCGAATATCTCATTTTTTGATTCCGAGCCGCGAATGCCCACTTCATCAAAAGCACGAGGCACACCAAAGTTCGAGTATCGAAGTTCAACTTTCTACACTCACAACCGAATCGCTTACAACATCCGTAGGTTACCCGGTTCTCACGCCTTGACGGCGCGCCACGTATGAATGTGGCGACTCGACGACACGAGGGCTACAAATAGCCCTCGTGTCCAACCTACAATTCTTATCATTATTCCAGCCATGACAAATTTCACGGACCGCGAATACAGAATAGCCGTCGTGGCAGAATGGGCATCTTCGTGCCACGTAAAGTTCTGACGTGGCTGTTCGCGACGTCGGTATCCTCGTTCCCGCTTCGGGTGTGCGCACGAAGCGATTTGCGACGGTCGCGCATTTCGCATTTGCTTGAATCATGCTCAGGAGGACACACGTTCGTCCAATCGTGAGGGTTACGCACTCGAACGTGGGTTCGACCTGGGTTTTGTTTCCTCCAACTTGAACACTGTCAGAGGTGGACACACGATTGTCGCAAAGACCGCCTTGCGAAATTTGCGAAGCAAGTTACCAGCAAAAGTTCGAGCTTATTTTCGAACCTCTACACCAAAAGACACGCGCCCTTACCTCCTCCCCAACCTGTAAGCTAGAATTACAGCAACACGATCCACCGACAGCCTTGCCATTCGCCTTAGTCACCACTTCCCAGTCGACTGCTTGTTCGCGCGCCTCGCGCGCCTCGCGCCCATTCTATTCTCGTCGTCCTGCGCGCCTCGCGCTGCACCGTGCGCAGTGCTTTCATTTTCGCCGCCCCGCGTTTACGATTTTCATTCGCGGATAGCGTGAAGCATCTCCCCGATTCTCATCACCAGAAGCAGCGCGGCTCCCTCGATCAGCAGCGCAGCGCACGGCAAGATCGAGTAGAAGCGCATGGCGCTTAGCCTTCTCCCATTTCGCGATGCCAGAAAAGACGTCAGTTATGCCATCTTACACATTAAAATCGTAATGCCTCGATCAGCAGCGCGCGGGGCTTCCGCGAGGAGCTGTCGAGCTGCCCCCCTAGAGTCTGCCGTTCCAATGCCGTTACCTTCTGCGCTAGCTTCTGCGCTATCCCTTACTCTTTATTAGCAGCTTCGCAACTCTTAAAGAGTCACAGCGGCAGCCACGGCACTCGCGAGCAGCACCGAGCAGCGGAAACCACCGCCTTTTGACCATGGGGAGCCATGGCTGTCGCGGGAAGACCGCTGGGCTCGCCGGGATTGGCGGCGGGTGTAGCGGGGGTGCCGGCAGCATTCGTGTTCGGCTTGGGCTGTCCTCCGCGGGGACGTCCGATCGCCGCGGGGGGAAGCTCCGGCGCCGCGGTGGCGGGCAGGGGAAGTCCGCACAGATGGCGGCGGCGCGCAACCCTGGTGAGTTTAATTCGTTGCAGGTTCTGTGTAAGAATATATTGTAAAGATTTATGAGCAAAAATAGTTCGGATACGTGCGAGTTGCTCGTCGAGCAGCTCGTGTGCGCTGTCAGAGTCACAACGGGCAGCATCTACTCGTTTTTCTTGCACGCTAGAGTTTCAGAGATTGAACCTGGATAGAAGGCCGGATTCTCTCTTTCTCGCTGACGCTATGGCCCCGATTCCTGTTCCACTGACAGTCTCGCGTTTTACGCGGTTTCGCTTCTTTCCTTTCCACGTTCCCTCACGCCCCTATCCCCCACCTCCCTCCTCTCTTCCGCGCCAGACTCGGCCAACTGTTTGAGCAAGGCGACCGGACCGCCCATGCTCAACATCTGTACGGCCTTCACGCAGCAGGTGTACGACGCGTGCGGCACATGAGTCATGTAAGCTCTCATCCCCGATTCATTCCGCTTCCGCTTCGCAGTTCAGTAGCTTCCTCATTCGTCTCGCACGCTAACCTTGAAGCGCGGCGCGTTACCGCGCTGCAGGCGGAAGGGCGGCGCGTTTCCGCGCTGCAGGCGGAAGGGCGGCGCGTTTCCGCGCTGCAGGCGGAAGGGCGGCGCGTTTCCGCGCTGCAGGCGGAAGGACGGCGCGTTTCCGCGCTGCAGGCGGAAGGACGGCGCGTTTCGGCACTGCAGGCGGAAGGACGGCGCGTTTCTTCCCAATCGTCCCTTCCCTTCGTTTCCCCTTATTCCGCGCTGCAGGCGGAAGAACGGGGCGCTTCCGCGCTGCAGGCATACTGCGCCGCCGTGGAACGCGACGCGGGGAGCGCGTGCGTGTCTTGTCGTGTCGTGGGCCTTCATTGTCCCGCCCCGCCCTCATTCATCTCCCCCCTCCCCCCACCCCCGCGCCATCCATCCCCGTTCCCTCCCCCCACCCTTCCCCTGCAGGCATTGAGTGGGGTACAGCGCGGTTCCGGCTCCCGCCACCGGCAGCACGCTGCTCAATGCTGCACCACTAGTAGCGTGTGGGGCTTGCGAGAGGAGCGACGCGCAGAGCTTTGGCGGCTTCCGCCGTCACCTCATTCCTGTGCGAGGGACTGTGAGTGGACTTGGGCGGTAGGGGGGCCTTTGGGGGGGTTCCCACAAGCTCTTCACTCTATCCTGCACCCTGCATTATTATTACTGTTGCTTTTTGTTCTCTCTTGTTCCGTGTGTTAGTATTACTGATTTTAGTTCTCTTCTTCTCGCTTGTAACGTGTATTCATTGTAGAGCACTTCACCATCCCGGTGACCCCTCACTCACACCACACTTGCTATTCCGCCAGCCCCTCACTCGCGCACCGCTTGCCATCCCCTCTGCTCACCTCTCCTCCCCTCTGTTCAACTCGTCTCCTCCCCTCTCATAAACTCCTCCCCTCCTGTTCACCTCCTCTGCTCCCCTTTTTTCACCTCCTCTCCTCCCCTCCTCACCTCTGTTCACCTCCTCTCCTCCCCTCTTCTCACCTCATTTCCTCACCTCTTTTCACCTCCTCTCCACCCTCTTCTCGCCTCATCTCCTCACCTATGTTCACCTCCTCTCCTCCCCTCTTCTCACGTCCTCCTTTCCCCCTTGTCCTCCTTTCTCCTCTTCTCACCCTGTTCACCTCTTGCTGCCAAGACATGAGAAGTATATGAGTAGGAGATTTATGAAGGTTATCAAAATAAGGATTGTTTGTAAAAATGAAGATTTTATAGTGGTTTGGAGAGGTCCGGGGCGACCTGGAGAGGTCCGGGCAGAACCCGGGAGGTCCGGGCAGAACCTGGGAGGCTCGGGCAGGCCCGGGCAGTTTGGGCCGGACGAGAGACTGAGTGGTCTGTTTTTTGCGCCGTCCCACTGCATGCCTTGCTCCTTGTTCCCGTTGCTGCCGCCCGGTTGCAGTCCCAGCCACCCGATTCTTGATCGTGCTGCCGTGTTGCTGTTCCAGCCGCCCAGCACTGTTCATGCCGCCTGGTACTGTTCATGCCGCCCGGTACTGTTCATGCCGCCCAGTTACTATTCCAGTCGTCTTGTAACGGCAACAGGAAGAAGAGCAGGAACAGGAGCAGAAACAGGAACAGGACAGCAACTGGAAGAGAAAAAAGAAGACCAAGGTTACCTTACAAAAAAAAAAAAAAAACAAAAAAGAAATGCCTTTGGCATGTCATGTTGCTTTGTAGTCATGCAAGGGATAGGGGGAAGGCCATGCCATGCCAGGGATAGGGGGGAGGCCATGCCCATGCCAGGGATAGGGGGTAGGCCATGCCCATGCTAGGAATTGAGGGGTGCAGGTAGGGGGGCTGTGAGGAGGATTGGGGGGTAGGGGGGCCTTAGGGGGGCCGTGGGGGGGGTTCCACTCGTTTCTCGTTATTGTCACTCCTCTTATTGTCCTCTTTCTGCCTTAATAGTACCACTTTCTGCTCTCTTGTACTTCCATTGTACCTTGTATTATTATTGCTGTTTCTCTTTTGTATTTTACAAAACAGACAATAAACATGGTGGCACTTTCTGCTGTCTAGTTCCATTGTACCCAGTAGGGACTATTATTGCTGTTCTTCTTTTGTGGTAATAAATAAAAGATACAATAAACCCTACTCGTTATTGTCACTCCTCTTATTGCTCTCTTTCTGCTTTATTGTACCCTACCACTCTCTGCATTTCTTTCTAGCATCCATTGTTTCCACTCCATTTTAATGATTGTTCTCCACCTCGTTCCTTCAATACATGGTGGCTTGTAACGAAAAAAAGCAGCTTCTTGTTTTCTGCCGGTATACCCGACCCGGTGGTTCTAGGTCTGGTCGGGTATACCCGTACCCGGGGGATGTGCCTGTTGGGCTGAGATAGCCCCTTAGGATCTTTTCAGGGGAGAACTCTGGGTAGGATAATGTTGTAACAGCGGAAGCTTAATGAAGGATTGTGAACCACCTTGCGCTAGTATGTGAGGGCAAAGTAGATTGATTATATTGAAGAAGTACAAGATTATATATTGATACAAGGAATATGAATGGATGCAGTTGTAACTACTTTTACTGTTGCTGTTGCGGTTCGATACAATACGACTCGGGCAACTGCTCTGTAACGAGTCAGTTGTGTGTCCTTAACTGTCGCGTTGTATTTGTCAGGTCAAAGGTCGCTTGACCTTTGACTTTCGCGTAACCTCCAGCAACCTCTCAACCTCCGAGGGTTGACTCGCGTTTGCTTCGGTACTGCTTGCTTCACTTCTGGTGCGATGTTTCGACACGACTGAAGCGCTTAAGTTTCACTGTTTCCAACACTCCCCTTCGCTTCTGGAGTGTCGCTGCTGATGACGTGGCCCTGTCCAGTCAGCAGCATGCAGTACTCGAACTTCTGCTTTCCGAGCTTCTTGGTCAAATAGTCGGCTGCCATCTCGGACGTGGGGCAGTATGACAGCTGAAGTCTCCCCTTCTCGATCTCGTCTTTCACGAAGAAGTAGCGCAGGGCAATGTGTTTCGTCCTGTTCGCGAAGCCGTTTTTGTTGGCGATGCGAATTGCTGATTGATTGTCGCAGAACAGGGTGAAGCTGGGTAACTCAGCCAACTTTGCTTCTTCCAGCAGTTCGCGAAGATAAAGGCCTTCTTTGGTGGCTGAGCAGAGTGCGATGTATTCTGCTTCAGCTGAAGATAGCGCGATTAACTCCTGCTTGCTCGACTGCCAGGAGATAGGACCGATAGGTTCGAGGCGGTAAACGTAGCCGGTGCGTGAGCGCCTGTTGTCGGAGTCGCCGGCGTGATCGGCGTCGACGTAGCCGATTAGTTTGGTCGGTGTAGTTGCGTTCTTGTGGTAGGTTAGGCCGATCGTCGGGGTGCTGATGAAGTAGTGAAGAGCGCGGTCGAGCTCCGCCAGGTGTTCTGTTTCGGGCTTCTTGAGGTAGGTAGCGAGCTGACTTGCGGAGTATGAGAGGTCGGGACGGCAGGTAACAGCTGCGAAGAGGAGGCAACCTAGCTTCCTCTGATAGTCGCGTATGCCGGCGGGCTTGAGTAAAGTGGATCTTCCCTTGTCGGCTCCTGTCGTGTAGCGGTATGGTGTTGAGATCGCGGCTGGCGTGAGACCGAAGCGTTTAGCGATGGTGTCGGCGTACTTCTCGGCGCTGAGGTAGATCGCGTCTTCTTCTTCTCGAATGTTGAGGCCGAGGTACTGAGTGACGGTAGCCGAGACTGTAAGCGTGAGATCTTGCTGCAGCTCCCCTTCGAACCAGGTAGTGATACCGTCGTTTGATACGATGTAGAGGAGGTCGTCCACGTAGACGATTAGTAGAACGTAGTCGTCGTTCTTCGTGAGGCGATACATCCCTTGATCGTGTGGGAGTTGCTTGAAGCCGATGCGGATGAGGCGAGCGTGTAGGTACTGTTGCCATAGTCGCGGGGCCTGTTTGATCCCGTAGAGTGATTTTAGCAGCTGGCAGACATGCGTGGAGTCTGTGTTGGAGCCGTGTGGTAGCTCCACAAAAATCTCTGCGTCAACAGGTGCGTAGAGAAAAGCATTTGCGACGTCGATTTGTCGCAGCTTCTTCTTCTTCATGGCGGCGATCGCGAGGAGAATTCGCAGTGAAGTGTGGCGGCTGACCGGAGCGAAGGTTTCGGTGAAGTCACGTCCGTGCTCCTGGTCGAAGCCGCGCACGACCCAGCGTGCTTTGAATTTGTCGATGGTGCCGTCAGCTTTCGTCTTCACGCGGAAGACCCATTTTCCGGTGAGTATGGTCTTGTTTCGTGCTACGCCGATAGGGACGACCTTCCAGGTGTTGCGTTCTTCTAACGCCTTCAGCTCTCTGTCCATGGCTTCGCGCCATTTTTCCCTGTGCTCCCCCCCCAGAGCCTGTTGAACCGTCGCAGGCTCCTTAGGAATGTCGGCGCCGTGGACTGCGGTGACGAGGCCAAGGATTTGGAGTCCACTCTGTGTGTAGCGGGGGAGTGTGGTGTCCTCGGGATAGACTGCTTCGTCTCCAGCTTCTGGATCAGGTGCGAAGTTGGGTCCTACGCGTTCTGCTTCGTTGGTGTTGACTTCAGCGGGTGTAACGTAACCGTTGTCGGCGAAATCGTAGTAAACTTCGGCGTTGATGCTTTCGCGTGGGTCTTCGTCGTCCATTGGTACGTCCACTGGGCAGTAGGGAAGAGGTCCGGCTTCTTCCGAGGCTCGGTCCACGTTCTGCTCGTCCCAGTCAGCTTCGTCTTCTGCCGAGGCGAAGGCTCGGGTGCCAGTGAATCCGCCCGTGAGGTCAGGTCTGTTGGCTCTGACGTACGCGAGATGAACGTCGAGGGTGAGGTGTTCGTAGAAGATGACATCACGTGCTGCGACTGTTTCCTTGCTGTTGATGTCGAAGATTTTCCATGCGTTGTGGTGTTTTTCGATGCCCAGGTGTAGTCCCCACTGTGCTCGTTGGGAGAATCGACCGGCGCGTGCAGATGGTGGTCGGTACTGTACCATGCACCCGAAAACTCGTAACATTTTTGTGCTGCCCAATTTTCCTGTCCACAGCAGGTGCGGTGATGCAATGTTCGGGAGCGATGATGACGAGAGCAAGTTGTGCAGCATGACGGCGTGGTCCATTGCTTCGGGCCACTGGTGGTTGGGCAGATGCATGCCACGTAGCAGCTTGCGCATGGTGGCTTGAAGTGTCCTGTTCATCCGTTCTGCTACACCTTGCTGTTGATGGGCGTAGGGAAGGGAGATGAGCCGCTTGATTCCCTTCTCTGCCAAGTAGTCCTTGAACCTCTGTGAGGTGTATTCTCCTCCCCCGTCGGACTGAAAACTTTTCAGTTTTACGCCCGATTCTCGGTAATCGTGTAGTTGTAAGTGTTCTGTCCAGGTTCGCGGTTGTACAAGATGTCGCTGTACACTTTCTCGAGTGGTGCGTAAGCTGGTGCGCTTGGATTGTGGTGAGATGGAAATGGTTGTCGCGTTAGGTCTGCTTCGGGGCAGGTGAAGCATGTTCCTCGAGCTCGCTGAAGTTCTCTGCCGTCGGTTAGTAGGAGTGAATCTTTGTCAAGCACTCCCGCTCTGATTGTGTTGTTTAACACGGTGTGGCTCGGATGTCCCATTCTTGCGTGCCAGGTTCCTTCGGTGGCGCGGTGTCCTTGAGAACGTCGGTACATGTCGGAGTTGGAGTAGAAGCCGGCGGTGAAGTTGGCGCTGCGGTGAACTTCTCGCGGCGTTGGTTGAAGCTGCTGCGCGGGTGTTGGTGGCGTGTCGTCGATGAAGAATGGTGTCGTCGAAGGATCGGCGACTGGTGTTGATGTTCCTGCTGCTGCTGTCGTTGTCTCTGCTGCTGCCGATGTTGTCTCTGCTGCTGCCGATGTTGTCTCTGCTGCTGCCGACTGTTGAATCGTTGCTAACGCTCTTGTTCTCTCTGTTTCAGGAATGGTGTGTGAGTACCAGAAGCCGCCCGGACTGAAGTCTGGATCAAGGTCTGGAGGGTGCGTCCAACGTAAAATTGACGATGGCATCACTGTCAGCGGTGCCAAGGTCCGGAACGAAGTCAAGAACGAAGACGTTGTTCTTGAGGACCGCCTTCCCGATGTAGAGACCTCCTCTCCCGTGGTACAACTTGAACTCCTGAGTTGTGCTGTCTGCTTCAAGATGAATGCCCTTCGCCATCAACTGACTGACGCTCAGTAAGTTGTAGCCCAAGCCCTCTGCGATTAGGACCTTAGACATCTGCAGGATAACGTTTGTCTCTCGTGACTGAAGTTGTACTACGCCTTGTCGTCGTGTGCGCAGGTTCTGGTTGTTGGCGACGGTAATGATGACTTCCCGTTGAAGCTGGTACTCTCGCTGCACGAAGCGTCCTGAAGAACACATGTGCTGTCCGCAGCAACTGTCCAAGAACCACGTGTCCTTCCCGGATGGCTCGCTTTGGGCGATGGCGGCGTATGTTGGATTCGGTTGAAGTGCTTCGCGGCGAGGTG